AAAAAAAAAAACAAAACCAGAATTATGATCTATGTCATGTACTTGTACCAAATCCTCACAATAAATGTAATAGTTATGCACTACAAATATACTCATAAAAATAATAAAATAAACAGATGATGCACACCTGCCTATAATCCCACCACTTGGGAGGCTGAGGCAGGAGGATCTCTGAGAGTGTGAGGCTGGCCTGGACTCTATAGTAAGTTGAAGGCCAGGATGAATTGCCTAGCAAAAAACAAAAACAAAAACAAGAACAAAAAAACCCCAACCTGGAACACAAGGAGAAATGAGTGGTTAGCCTCAGACCAGGCTCTGCCTTCTGGGGCTCAGCTCACTCCACTCTACCCTTGCTTTAGGAAAAGGGGCTTTGCTATTCCCTGGTCCAGACCTCCTCAGCACCTCCCCCATCTGTGCAACTGCCTGGCTCTGCTGCCTAGGATAACACCCAGCCCTCCCTTGCCCCCTGTGGCTGCCTCCCCTTTCCGTCTGTTGAGAGAGGAAGCCAGGGGGTGGCGGGTGCAACTCTGTGGGGCACTGATAAAGAGCCAGCGCTATCCCCGCCCTCTGGGGCCACTGCGGTCAGACCAGTAGGCAAGCTGGGGAGGCAGCCAGCTCCCTCTGGGACCTGGGGCCCTCCCCTGGTTCCACCTCTACCCACCCCGTCCTTGTCTTCTCGGGAAGCTGGTTGCATAACCCAGTGGGGTGTTTGGCAACCTCACTGTGGCTTGACCTGATGCTGCTGGTGGTGGTGTACACACACGTTGTGGGGTGAGGGCGGGGATGGGCTGGCCAGGGGTGACAACAAATTAGCCTCACAGGGGGCGGGTGAGCAGCGCAGGTAGAAAGTGTTAGGATACTAAAGCTACACAGCCGCATCTTTTCTGTTTTTCCTGTCTCTGCTGCCTTTGTTGAAGTAGAAGCATAGGAGAGATAGGAAAGTCATAGGCGTCACTGGTTGGCCAAGCCATGGGCACGACTGTCCTGCCCACCCAGGCTGGAGCTCAGCTAGTGCCCCACATGGTGTAAATCAATCAAAGGAGATTTAAAGTGGGAAGGTACCAGCTCCGGGTTTGGGAAGGAAGCTGAGGGCTGGAAGGAGTGCTGTGTTGACAAGACACAGCCCAGGAACCAGCAAAGACCTCTTTCTACAGAAGGGCTATGAGGCGAGGTGGGGGAGACACCTCGACTAGCCAGCTGCCTACCTGAAGGCTGTCTGCTTCCCTACCTCGCCCTACATCACCGTGTCTGTCCCCACAGATAGGCAGTAAGGGACTTCAAACACCTCTGTGAGTCCTGCCTGCTTCCGGAATCAAATGCACCTTCCCTAGCTTGATTTTCGAGAGTTCATACAGTCACATTTCTAGCCTTCGCCGTCTGTGGTGGTGAACACCTGCAATCCTAGCATCTGGGAGGCTTAGGCAGAAGAACCACACAGGATGGGCAATCTAGCAATTTAGTGAGACCCTGTCTCAGTATAAAAAAAAAAAAAAGGGCTGGTGATAGGCTTAGCGTAAAGGCCTTGAATTCAACCCTTAATACTGAGGGGGAAAAAAAAATCAGGCATTTCTTTTTTTTTTTTTTTTTTTTTTTTGCGGAACTGGGGATTAAACTCAGACTTATTCTACTGAGCCATCTCCCCAGCCCCAGGCATTTCTTTTTTTCTCTCTCTCTTTCCTGAGCTGATCGTGCAACAGAAGGCTGCACACGTGCTAGGCAAATACTCTTCCCTGAGCTACAGACAGCCCAGCCCAGAACACTTCTCTTCCACTACTGGAGAGAAGTCCCACCCCATTTATTCCCTGCTCTATTAAACCCACTGTTTGCTCAGAATACTCTTCCCTTTCTCTTTTGTGACAGCCCAGTGAAACTGTCACCTTTCCTGGGATCCCTTCCCTGAATTTCCCCAGATAGAAGGCATTTCCTCTTCTGCTCAGCGGCACTTGACACAGACCTTACTGTGGTCCCTGACTACCCTGGGCGTGGGGACATGAACCACATGAACCACGTCACATTCATCTTTGTGTTTCTGGGATGTGAGACACAGTAGACGCTTAGTAACTTTGTAGGATGAATGAGTGGATGATAAGGCTGTTATCTGTAGTTGTATCCGCAACACCATACAGCGTCCAGAACTGGTGTTCTCATTCAATAAATGCTTATTACTATCTGCAACCTGATATCATTGTACAATCAGCTGGCGGCGTGACTCACCACCGCTCCTGGCTCCTGCCCCCTGAGGGACCCAGAGGAATATGCAAGTGAGAGGGCTGTATGTGAAGGCCCATTTGTGTGACCCAGATTCATGTCCAGGTCTTAGGAGATTTTGAGCCCACACATAACATACAGTGAAGTCATTGAGTTGCTTCCTGCTCGACATAAATCATGCGTGTACAGTCATGGTCTCCTCGGGTAGAGTTGGAATTCAAAGCATTTATCCATGGGTTTGGCATCAACATTAATTGATTCCAGCACAAGCAAGCCTACCCAGGAGACTTGGTATCAACACAGCCTCATTATATGCTGGGTGTGTTGCTGGGTTTGGGGGCTTACAGGGAAACAGTGTGGTCAAGGTAGGGGTGATGTGGTGAAGGAACAACCTCAGGGCTCACAGCTGCTCATCCACTGTTCATTGTCTGAGACAGAAGATTTGCCAGTAATTAACAATAAAAACAGTCCCATCAGCCTGAAGCAGTCTGAAGGCCAGCCCTGCCCTTGGTGGCACCTGTCTGCTTCTCCAGGGTTTCTCTTTGATCTCTCTCTTTGGCATTTTGAGACACGCTCTCACACTCTGGATCCTTCTGCCTCAGCCTCCCAAGGGCTGGGGTTAGAGATGTGTGCCACCACACCCCACACCTGTCTTCACCAGTCTTTAGATGTTTCCAATTTAGTTAGTTAGTTTCCAATTTAACATGAACATCGTGAGAAGAAGAGTAGGGAACAAGTGGGAAGGGTTGAAGGTAGACATGCAAAGGACTTTTCCTAGAGCTGAAAGCTACTAAAAGCTGGGAGGGGAAAAGGAAGATGCTTTCCTCAGCCTCTAGAGAGACCTCCTAGGCCTGGATTTAGGTTCTGTCGCTTTGAGGAAAGGTGATGAGTAAGATGCTTCTGGGTAAGCTCTGGCCTGATGCGGACGCTTGATTAACCTGAGTCCTACACATGCGACCAGGCTTATGCATGGTGCAGCGCTGACATGTGGCCAGGCTGCTTTGCCTAGAAGAAAGGACACTGGGTCACCTTTAAGGGAGGTGGATAATCTCCCTACTGGGCAGCCCCCTACCCAATTCCCTTCATACACCACTGACAAAGGGGGGGGGGAACACCTGGCCAAGAAAGGAGCCTTTGTTTTAGAACATCTGATGCTGAGGGGGAAGGGAGAAGGCTACAGGTGAGAGGACACATCAAAGCAGGGGATGGCTCCTCCTCCCCCAATCGCTCCTTTAGCCTTTCCCCAGGGCCCAGGCATATCCTGAGAAGCCACACACCAGGTCCTTAACTTCCTGCCTGCCACCTTGCTATTGACTCAGTTTCCCTGTCCCTAAGAGAGCCATGGGGGGCAGCAAAGGAGGCTCCAACCTGTATAAAATCTAGAGGTCACTTTTGAGTGGACCATCGAGTTGGAATTCATCCTATGCACGGACGGGAGAGTCGCAGAGCTGGCTGGACTTGGGCTCCGAGAGGGCTGGGAGCGGCCTGGAACCCTGGGTGCTCCCGCTGGCCAGGAGCGAGGTGGGGGCGGGGTGTGGGCAGAAACCACACCGGGCTCAAGTTTCCTCTCTTGGCCAGAAGGGGCAGGAGGAGGAGGGCCACAGGGAAAGAGGAGGGTAGCAGGAAGAACTGAGAACTGAGGCCGAGCGCTCAGAGCAGGGCTGGCGCTTTCCTGGGGCTCCTGCACTCAGCAGAGCCAGCCGGAGCTGCCACCCTCAGCCCAACGATGGCCCGGGGGCGGGGCTCGAGCCTCGCCGCTTCGCAGAGGTAGCAGGATCCCTGGCCCGGGAGGTGTCAGCTCTGGCCCAGCCTCTCCAGACACGACACCGGGAGCCTCATCTCTTCTTCCGCACCCTGCTTGGACTGTGCCACAGGTGCCTGGAAATGGGGTGGGGGGCACGATGGGGGAGGGTGGACCCGGTGGGACCCGAGGGGCAGGCTGGGGAGTTGGAGCAGGTGGAGGAAAGAAATAATGAACTTTCAGAAAATTTGTAAGAGACCTTCCCAGGGTGCCCCTGGTTTAGGAATTTGACATCTTTGCCAAATTTTCTGGGAGAAGACCTAGGTTTCTTGGGTGTTCTGGGATCCTTGGGGGGAGGGGGAGAATGAGTGGGTGGGGACAGCAGAGTGGTACCCTGAGGATTCCTGAGAGTCTGGGGAGGGTACCCCCTGGAGGAGGCAAGGGATTTCCAAATACATGCTATCACCCTTTCTCTTACCCCATCCCATTCTGCTGCCTTGTCCAACCAGTGGGGACAAATTGGGAGAAACTGAGGAACTGGAGACACTGACAATCTGGAGTCTGAGAAGTGTTGATACAGCAGGATGAAGCAGTTAGGTGGAGAGTCATTGCATTGCTGTTGGCCCTTCTCTGGGTCCCAGGGGATTAGAGGCCACTGGGACTAAAAAGTAGAAGGCTCAATACCACAGAGCAGCCTTGCCACTGAAGCAGAAAGAGAAGAGAGGAGTACCAGACTTGCCTGGGTGGGGGGTTCTCAAATCACTGATCCCAAAGGGCTGGTCTTTGGGGGCTAGGGAGAATGACAGGACCACAGAAACTTGTCCCCTGCCCCTGGTTTCCACACATGCTTGAGTTATATGTGCACCCAGAGAACTGAGTTGGCTCTACTCAATCTCTTCCCTTTTTCTTCATTTTGTGTACTTCTCTGTCACCTCTGCTAGCCTCTCCCACTTTGGGAGTTCTCTCTGATCTATTTATTTATTTGTGCTGGGAATTGAACTGAGGACCTTGTGCTTGCCAGGCAGGCACTTGCGCTGCTGCACTATATCCCTGGCCTCCCTGATCTTTCTAATTAGGTTGCTTACTTGCCAATCTACTCCCCAAGTGTTACTGAGCCTTTCCTATCCTTCCATTGTCTGCACTGCCACCTGGAGAGGTGGGGTAGTCTAATAAGCCCCCAAATAGGACCTCAGGGCAGGCCTCTTCTCCACGGTTCCCCTTTGCCAAGAAAGTCAAGAGCCCTGGGACATTGGTGAAGGCCAAATGTCCTCTCCCTAGAGTCCCTTGCCAGTGATTCTGTATTCCTAAGCACAAAGCCCTGTATCATTCTGTAAGTTCTCAGGGATTGTAAGATCTTTCTAGTGGTCTAGGAGTACAACTCAGCAGTACAGTGCTTTCCTAGTATCTAGCAGGCCCTGGGTTTCATCCCCAACAACAAAAAACAGCTTTCTGAATAAGGCTATCGGCATGCATGCAAGCGAGGACAGTTTGTTTGTTTTTAGTTTTTTGAGACAGGGTCTCACTGTGTAGTTTAGAAGTGTCCTTAAACTCACTGTGTAGTCCAGGCTGGCCTCATGCTTGCAATGATCCTCCTGCATTCGCCCCCTGAAAGATGACAGATGTCCACCACTGTACCTGGCTGATGAGAATGTGGCTTAGTTCCTGGAGATGGCACCAGTTCTAACTGATCCATGTTGAGGAATAAGGGAAAGAGAAGGAATAGTTAATTCTATGGAGTAAGGTTGCTCTGTGACCTTAAAATATAGGCTAAACTGTAAAGTGGGAGCTCCTTATTTGTACTTTGGCAGCCTCTCCCCAGTTTCTGGGCCCCTGTGGTGTTCTGTTTGATCCAATTTGGAGTATACTCTCTCCCTCACCTATCCCACTGGTCTTCTGAAAGGCAGGCTCCAAAGAGACAAGAGAGTCCATGCCTTGTGTTGGACCAGTACCCCTCAACCCCGGGTCTCTGGGAAAGCAGTGTTCCCATGCCCGCTGCAGCCTGCTGCAAACTCACTGCTGCACCACTGAGGTGGTGGAGCTGGTCCAGAGGTTCTCCACAACTCTCTCCCTTAACCTTCCCCTAATCCCCTATCATGTTCTCACTTTCCTGTCCCTGGGAAAGCGGAAGACTGAACTCCAGCCCTTCAAGGGAAAGGGCTGATGTCTAGGCTCAGAGACAGGCTGGATGTCAGCCTTGCCTAGGTCAAGGTTAAAAGCCTGAAAAAGCTAAGAGAACATTCCTTGGCCTCCATGCTGGCTTGGTGTTGTTCCCTCTAAATGCATACAGATGGACTAGTCTAGTGGATTTCAAGGTGTGATTGGCCAGTTGCATCAGTCACCAGAGTGTATTGAAATGCTGGCTCTTGGTACCTGCTCTATGGATTCACTCAGCAGGAATGGAAGGCCCATTGCCCAAGGTTATGTAGTGTTGTGAAGACCAAAGACCGTGGTCTTCAGCCTACTAGGGCAGAATCTTTGCACTGCATCTTAGAGTCAGGTCCGGGAAGAGAAGAGAGACAAAAAGGGGGTGGGGTGAGCGCAGAGCTATGAGGCAAGAGCCTTGGTCCCTGCCCCCAAACTCCTTCTCCATTCACTTTGCCTTTTGGGCAATTTCCGCCAGAACCTGGGTGGAGATGGTGGGGTTCCGGTGTTGAAATGGATAGACATAAACACCCCACCCACTCTGTCCACTGACCAAGGTCTTGTGCCTGCACCAACTCTCAGTTCTGGAGATGGCAGTATAATAAAGGGGTGGAGCAAGGGGCATGGGGACATCCTCTTTCATAGGGATCATTTATAGTTCCTATTAATTCTGTGATAACTCCAAGAGTGGATTCCATATTGTATGGCTGCAATGGGCCCTTTTTCTGGTGGGTAGTCTGAAGTCAGCCAGTCAGAGATCATTAAGTCCTATTCTCTGTCCTCTATGCTTCTTTCATCTCTAGCCTGCCTCCCTTTCTGTACTTACTTGATTTGGTAGTGGCTTGTGGAGTGTGTGTGTGTGTGTGTGTGTGTGTGTGTGTGTAAATGTGTTGTGTGTTTGGCCCTAAAAATATCAGGGGGCAAAAAAAGAAAAAAAAAAGTCAGGAAGCTGCTGCCAAATTCTACTTGGAATCTCTCTCTCTCTCTCTCTCTCTCTCTCTCTCTCTCTCTCTCTCTCTCTCTTTTGGCGGAACTGTGGGTTGAACTCAGGCCCTTGCACTTGCCAGGCAAGTGCTTATTCTACTGAGCTATCTCCCCGGCCCCTGGAATCTCTTGCAGAAGATGAAAACAGGTGTGGAGTTGTGTGTCAGGGAGTAGGAAGGTAGAATGAGGAAGAGGGACCAGCAAAGAGGAGACGATACCCGCACGGGGGAGAATTAGCTAAGAACTCCAAACTGCGCCAGCAGAAAGGGACTCCCAGGTCCAAAGAGTACAACTCCCTGGGTTTTACAAATGAGGAAACAGGATCAGAGCAGTGAGATGGATTGCCCAACATCACATTGCTGCTTCAGGGCAGACCTGCCGCTAGCGGGGAGACCAAGAGGAGAAGAGGGACTGGAGGGCCTACGGATTCAAGGGTGTAAAGGGACATATTGCTCAGTAGAAAGGGGGCTGAGACTGCAGGGTCTGTCTGGCTGAGGTCGACTGCCAGGAGCAGCGCTCAGTGTGGAGACGGAGGAGTGGTGTGGGCAGGTACCCGGAAAGCATAGGAGGGGAGTGAAGTGAAGTTCCTGACCTCATCCATGCCTTTTTTTGTTTGTTTTTGGAGACAGGGTTTTACTATATAATTCAAGCTGGCTTTCTTTGTGTGTGTCTTTGAGACAGGGTCTCACTATGCAGTTTAGGCTGGTCTTGAGTTCACTTTGTAGCTCAGGCTGGCCTTGAGCTCACAATGATCCTCCTGCCTCAGCCTCCCCAGTGTGGGATTACAGGTATGCACCACCAGCCGGGCTTCAAGCTGACCTTGAACTCACTGTATAGCCCAGTCTGGCCTTGAACTTGTGGCAATCCTGCCTCAGTCTTCTGAGTACTAGGATTAAAGTGTGTGTCTTGCCATAATGCCATTTATCAGTTTGGGTCACTTTTTTTTCTTTCCTTCCTTCCTTCATTCTTTTTTTCTTTCCTTCCGTCCTTGTTCTCAATTTCTGAATGGGCCTTCCAAGATCTTTATGAAAATCAATCTCATTGGCACAGCTCCTGACAGTGTTCACTAAGTCTTTGCTATGGTTGGATGTTAATTTATCTTGGAAGACAAAGACCCCTGGCTGCTGTAGGCCGGGGTATGGCCAAGATGCCCCTGTGGGGACACAGGGTAGAGGTTCTATGTCTCTGGGGCCCAATCCTCTTCTGCCTCTGCTGCTTGCAGCTGATAAACCTCTTATCTGTCCGCCCCAGGCAGAGTAACCCAGGGTCAGGATAGGAGGAGAGCGCAAGGCTGCTATCTGCAGCCAGGCCAGGGCCATATCTTCAAGGAGAAGGGCTGTCTGACTAGCACTTCCCACGACACGGTCCTTGGGGATCCCCAAGAACTCAGCCTGTCTTGAGGGACGAAGACTGAGACCCTAAAACTGAAGACATAGAAGGAAAGCAGGGGCGATTCTTGATGTTTCCTCACAAAACGGAAAAACAAACCAACCAGAACACCCTGGGAGATCTGGCTCTTTCTCTGCCCAAGACTACAGTTCTGGGAAGTAAGAAGTAGGGCAGAAAGAAGGTCTCTTGGGGGAGGGGGAGGGCAAAGACCTGCTGTGTTCCTAAGAGAACTGACTCTGGCTGTAGTTGGGGAGACAGAGTCCATACCACAGAAAAGAACTTGCCAGGTGGCCAGGTGTGGTGGCGCACCCGTGGAATCCCAGCACTCGCTAGGGGCTACATAGTGAGACCCTGTCTATTTTTTTTTCTAATTTATTTGTGTGTGTGTGTGTGTGTGTGTGTGTGTGTGGCCAGCTCAGCCTACCAGGGGGCGGGGCTGGCTGGCATGTGGTGCTGGGGATTGAACCGCGGTCCATTTGCTTTGCTAAGCTTGTTCTAAGTAGGAGCTTTAGACCACTGAGCCATCTCACCAGCCCAGTGAGACCCTGTCTTAAAAAAAAACAACAACAAAAGACTTGCCAGGTGAAGGGGTGGGTTGTTCAGTGAGTCTAGCTGCCGGAGGGTGTAGCTGGGGGAATCCCTCCACAGAGGCCATTCCACGCCCAGCAGGAGCAGCTCTAATGCCCTTGCCTTTCTCCCTGCTGCACAGGTTGCTGGGCCCTTTGGGCTTTGGGGAAACCTGGACCAGCCCCTGACCCAGTAGGATGCCCCCGTGTCCTCCTCAGCAGAGCAGGAACAGGGTGACTCAGCTGCCCACATCAGAGCCAGGCGAGATGGAACTGACTTGGCAAGAGATCATGTCCATCACTGAGCTGCAGGTGAGCAGGGAGAGAGAGAAGGCGATGCAGGGAGGCCAGCCTTAGGGAGGGAGATATGGGGAGGAGCAGGACGCAGGGCCAGAAATGCTGCAGACCCTGGAAAAGGGAGTGTGGAGTAGGGCGAGTGGGTGGAGCAGGTGGATGGGAACCCCCAGGATGGTGGTAAGAGGGCGTGTGGGGTGTGGGTGAGCAGGAGATAGGAGTGGTGGCAAGGGAAGGATCTGATTGGGGTGCAGGCTTTGTGCAGCAGGTGCCCTGCCCTGTCTTGCTCTGCTCGACTCCTCTGTCCTCTTTCTCACCCTCTTCTCCTGGACCTCCTTCTCCTTCAACCCTACCCATCTCTCCTGCCCTTAGCAACTGGTTCCCATTCTCCCAGGTAGCAGAGCAGTAGTTCAGGGGCCTCAGGAAGGGGAGTTGGGCTATGCTGGGGTCCTATCCTGAAGTTTGGACAAAGCGGTGTCTGTTGACTTAACAATGATGCCTTTGTCCATGGCTACACTGGAGTGGGGTGGCTCCCTGTGTGGGTGGGGGGCCTTGTTTCCAGCATGTTCTCTCCTCACTGCACCTGGTCAGGCACTGAGAGGGCAGATCTTGTGCTGGCTCCCCCAGGTGCTTGTTCCCAATCCTCCCTTGCCTCCAGCCCTGGTGCCCCAGGATCTGCCCCAGGCCACCTTTTCACATAACAGCTCCCTCTGCTGGGCACCTGGGGTATGACCAGAGAGTGAACTTGACCCTTTGACCCCAGGTAACCAGAGCAGGAAAGGGTTCTGAGGGGTTATCTTGGCTAATATAGACTTATTTTCCTTTTTAAAAATATATATATTTAAAATGCATATGTAAATTTTATGAGGTTCCTTATTGTTAAGCCCAACAGAACTTCAGGCAGTTGTTACAATTCAACTCCATGCAGCATTAACTTCTCTTCTGGTTCTTCTGTTAATTCCACCTTTTTTGAAGCCTTTTGATCTCTGAAATATTGTTCAAATATTGGCTGATAAATGTATATTCCTCCAGCAATTCCCATGATGCCAGCAAAAAGCAGCTGTGGAAGACTCAGTCTCCCAAACATCATCCCAGCAAGCAGCACCACAAAGGTGGTCTGGAAAAGCTGTTTTCCACACCTGGCCAGTCTCTTGAGATCATTATCAAAACTATAATGGGGTGCAGTGGTACACACCAGTAATATCAGCTACTGGCAGGCTGAGTGAGGCAGGATTGAAACTCGGGAGCAGTCTGGGAAACTGATCCAGACCCAGTGTCAAAATTAAGGACTGCGGACAGTTTCCGGCTACGGCCCCGGGCTCACTCGCATTACTGCATTAGGAAATGCACATAGATTTACATTACACATGCCCGGAACTTTTGCCATCTTAGACTTATTTTCCTGAAAGACTATAAAGTGGGGAGGGGGAGAAAAAGAATTAGAGTCATTTCTTCTCAGAGCTGCTTCTTCTGAGGGGGTTCTGTAACTTCCACCGTTTGGTGGTTGCCTCTTGAAGCAAACCTCAGAGACCTCTATTCTTTCTTATGCCGCCTTTTTCTTGGGTCAACTGGATGGCCACTGCTGTTTGAAGCTTCCAATTTTTTTTCCCCCCTGGAACCGGGGATTGAACTCAGGCCCTTGCGCTTGCCAGGGAAGCGCTTATTCCACTGAGCCATCTCCCCAGCCCCCTTCCAATGGTTTTTGAGAACTTTCCACTCTCTTGTTACCATTCCCACTTGGTCTTTCAGAAGGACCCTGCTTGATCCTGAGAGTGCCATTGTCCTCTCTCTGATGTGCTGCTCAAACTGACCTTGAAGTTGCAATTTTCCCAGCTCAGGCTCCCAAGTACCTGGAATTATAGGCATGCACCTTCATACCTGGTTTGCTGGGGTTTTTTTCCTAGCTTGTCTCCAAATTCTTTGTGTCTTTCTTTACAGGGTCTAAATGCTCCAAGTGAGCCATCATTTGAGACCCAAGCCTCAGCCCCATATCCTGGACCTCCACCACCTCTCTCCTACTGCCCCTGCTCTGTCCACCCTGACTCGGGCTTCCCCCTTCCTCCACAACCTTATGAGCTCTCAGCATCTACGTCCCATGTCCCAGATCCCCTATACTCCTACAGCAATGTGGCCATGCCAGTCTCCAAGCCACTGACCCTCTCAGGCCTGCTCAATGAGCCCCTCCCAGACCCTTTAGGCCTTCTGGACATTGGGCTGCCAGTGAGGCCACCCAAGACCCAGGAGGACCCTGAATCCGATTCAGGATTATCCCTCAACTACAGTGATGCGGAATCACTTGAGCTGGAGGGGACAGAGGCTGGCCGGCGGCGGAGCGAGTACGTAGAGATGTACCCAGTGGAGTACCCTTACACACTTCTGCCCAACTCCTTGGCCCACCCCAGCTATTCCCTGCCATCTGCTGAGGCCCCCTTGGCCTTAGAGCCCTCCCCAGGCCCTGTGCGAGCTAAATCTACTGTACGGGGGGAGGCGGGGAGTCGTGACGAGCGTCGGGCTCTGGCCATGAAGATCCCCTTCCCAACAGACAAGATTGTCAACTTGCCTGTAGATGACTTTAATGAGCTGTTGGCACGGTATCCGCTCACCGACAGCCAGCTGGCTCTAGTTCGGGATATCCGACGGCGGGGCAAGAATAAGGTGGCTGCCCAGAACTGTCGAAAGAGAAAGCTGGAAACCATTGTACAGCTGGAGCGGGAGCTGGAACGTCTGGGCAATGAGAGGGAGCGGCTTCTCAGGGCCCGTGGGGAGGCTGACCGCACCCTGGAGGTCATGCGCCAGCAGCTGGCGGAGCTCTACCGTGACATTTTCCAGCACCTTCGGGATGAAGCCGGCAACAGCTACTCCCCTGAAGAGTACGCACTGCAACAGGCTGCAGATGGGGCTGTCTTCCTGGTGCCCCGGGGGGTCAAGATGGAAGCCACAAACTGAGCACCCAGATTTGGGAATGACGTCATGGGGATTTCCCTTATTTCCTTTGGATAAAGGTTCTCCCCAGCCCTGAAACCTAAAAGGTGCTAAATTCTGTAGGCCAAGCAGACACCAAGGGAACCCCAGTGTTTGGAGTTCCAAGTGTGTTCAGTGAGGCCAGGCTCGGGACTTAGCTTCCCAGCTCCAACTTTGCCTCTTATCCAAGGTTTGGCCTATAAAAAGTTCCACAGGAAATAATTTTTCATTGTCTTTCTCCCCCTATTCAGTTCAGGCTGGCCTTGAGCTCACTTTGTAGTCCAAGTTGGCCAGAAACTTGCAGTGATCCTCCTGCCTCAGGAGTGTTGGGATTACAGGTGTGTACTACCACCAAAAGTAAAAATACACTCAGCCCATAGTGTGGGCTGTCCTCATGTCAGACTTGCCCCACTTGGTTTTTTTGGTTGGTGTTTTTTTTTTTTTTTTTGTGAGTGTGTTTGTGCGTGTTTTGGGAAGGCAGATATACTCACCACTATACTACCAACACAGACGTGTGCGTGTTTTTGAGTCAGGGTCTTGCTATGCAACTCTGGCAGGCCTTCAGCTAATTTAGTAGCCCAGGCTAGCCTTGAACTCACAAGGATCCCCCACCTTAGCCTCCTGAGTGTTGGGATTACAGGCGTGTGCCACCACACCAGGCTTGGACTGATTTTTAAAGACAAGGTCTCCATACACATGGCCCAGGCTGGCCTTGAATTTGTAGTGATCCTCCTGCCTCTTCCTTGGCCTCCAAAATGCTGGGATCATAAGCATGTGCCACCACACCTGGCTCTGAATGCTCACTACATAAAGCTGGCTGCAATGTATTGAAATTAAGAGAATTCGCAAAAAATAAATAACTTATAACTGCAGTGATAAATATATTAAGAGCCAAAACCAGGCACCCCAATTTGACATTCTAGGTTCACACAAGTTTCAAGAAAACTCTGGGTACCTGAATAAACAATTATAACAATAAGGGCCTGAAATAAGGCTTCTCTTTAGCAACATTTTTCTAAATTACCTCCCATTTTGAAAAAAGAAATGAAAATTCCACCCAGTATACCACCAGGCCTGGAGTGTCACCCACCATGGGAGGGAGGTGCTGGAGATGGACATTGCTCAGAGACCAGCGCTTGCTGGGGTGGGAGGGTCTTGGACTCCCTAGGTTGTCCAGGCTGCCCTCCACTTGCAAATCGCCTCCTTGGTGGCTCCTATTCCTAAAGGTGAGAGAACTCTCAAAGCTGGCTCAATCATCAATCCTTGACGTTTAGTTATCTTCTTTCTCAAATTTTGGGACAACAAAACAACCTAGAATGCCCACTGGCCTACTTTTCTGTTATTTTTCTCTTTATTCAGTCTGGGTCCTGATGTCCTAGAGCTCTCTCAGAAGACTGGGATACTCTCAAGTATCAGGAGAATTTGATTAGACACTGAAATTTCAGAGCATTTCACTCAAACCTTTGGTAAAACCTGCTGCACAGTGGAATAAAATATGCATTCCTATGAACCTTTCTCTCTGGTTATGTTAAACACTACTCAATACATTTTTATTTTTATTTATTTATTTGTCTTTAACTCAGGCCCTTGCGCTTGCCAGGGAAGTGCTTATTCCACTGAGCCATCTCCCCAGCCCTTTTTTTTTTTTGTCTTTCTGAGACAATGTCTCTGTGCAGCTCAGGCTGGCCTTGAACTTGCAATGATCCTCCTGCCTCAGCCTCCCGAATGCTGGGATTACAGGTATGTAGAAACACACCCAGTGAAGTTTCAGATTCTTTAGACACATGAAAATCCAACCAAACCATTGGGTGTAGTGATGCACACCTTAACACCCTGGATGGAGCCTGAGGCAGGAGGATCACTCTGAGTTTAAGGCTAGCCTGATATACACAGTGAGACCCTACTTAAGAAACAAAACAAAACCAACAACCCAGTTCAAACCTGACCGCACACTCAGTCTCCTTGGAGTTAGTGGCTCTCAATCTTTCCAGTCACTCAGACACCTAGTTTGCGCAAAGGTTTTTGTTTTCCCCTCTGTGCTACTATTTTAACTTTCAACAGAAAAACCTTAGTTCCAGAGTCTGATATAAACATCACAGATATTGGGATCTGAAAGCGGAAGTGACATGAGATACTAAGGAATACAGAATGTTCAACAATAACAGAAAAGAATCTTCACAGCTACACTTTATGGAAAATGTATTTCTAGCCCAGTGTTTTGTTTTTTTTTTTAGCCCAGGTTTAAGGACTGAAGGCAACCTGAATTCTCCTGTACCTAACAGATTTGAATATATCTCAGAGAATTTGTTGACTTTTAAGTTCTCTAAAAATATTGACAATGAGGGGGCCAGGGAGATGGCTCAGTAAAATAAGAGCTTGCCTGGCAAGTACAAGGGCTCTGAGTTCAATCCTGGTTCTGCCAAAAAATTTAAAAAAATATTGACAATGAGCCAGGCATGGTGGTGCATGCCTATAATCCCAGCAACCTCAAAGCAGAGGCAGGAGGATTGCTGCAAGCTTGAGGCCAGCCTGGGCAACATAGTGAATTCAAGGCCAGCCAGGACAAGAGACTCCATCTCAAACAAAGTAACAAAAGGGATAGTAGGAATTGACAATGTTCCTGTTTCTAATTGTAAAGGGCAGAGTCTTGGGCTGTCTGCAAATGTGACTGTATTTTGCCTAAGGAACACAGGATTTTCTATTGGAACATAGTAACTCACAGGCAAACTGAGACATTTACCTAGCTAAATTCTAGGTTTGATACAATGAACAGGAGCCATTCTGACAGCTGTGCTGTCATAGAAGCTACAGAACAGCCAATGGGAAGAGCATCTTGAAGCATACACAGCTGTGGCAAGCTGAGGGCTTGCACAGTTGAGTCATGGGACCCAGTGATTGCAGGAATTTGGATAAGGTTATCTTCCTTGAATCTTTCTCATGCAGAAAACACAGAATTTACTTTTCAACCTTGTATAAACACAGCCCAGTACATGTGGATTGCAGTAGGAATGTACATTTTTCAATACAAATACTTTACAAAAAACCATTATTCTTTTCATCTTAGATTCCTTAGTACTCCTACACAAGGTTAGTTCAGAAATTTTCTTAAATATGTGAATAGAGGCGAAATTTCCCTAGAATTCACCTCATCCCTACACAGCTCAATTCCAGCTAGCCTCAATGATCCTCCTGCCTCAGCCTTCCAAGTGCTAGGATTACAGGTTTCACCACTGTAGTCCAGCTTTTGTTAGTTTCAAAATTTAGGATGGGGAAAAAATTAGGATGGGGCTGGCCAGATAGCTCAGCAGATTAAAGCACTGGGTTAGGCAGATGCAGGAACCAGGTTTGATCCCAGTGTTCTGTTGTCTTTGCCCCTGGGGCTCTCTGCAAGTGGGATTGAGACTAGGTGTGGTGGTGCATGCCTGTAATGTTTTGGAGGCTCTTAAACAGGATCATTATGGGTCTTATCTGTGTAGTGAGACTGTATTAAATACATAGAGAAAAAAAAAAAGGATGATGCTGGGCATGGTGGCCCATGCCTGTAATCCCAGCACTTGGAAAGCTGTGGCAGGACTGCCACAGGTTCCCGGCCAAGTCTAGGCTACACAGTGAGTTCTGAATGACATAGCAAGGCTCTGTCTCAAAAAACAAAACTCAGGCTAGATAGGGTGAACTTTACTCAGAGAATCTGAGTACTTGCTGATTCCACATTGCCCTCAAGTTTCAGGCTGATGCCATAGCAGCAGGCACCGATAACCCCAACACTCTGGAAATAAGAGGCAGGATGGTAAATCTGAGCCACCTAGGTAATTTAGCAATTTAACAAAGAGGTGATGGATCAGTGTAAAGCTCTGGGTTCAATTCCCAGTATGGCAGAGGGAGAAACTAAGGCTTCCCGTGTATTTGCATTTCAGTCTATTTGCCAGCCATTAAACACCTGTCAATCTAGCAAGAGAAACACTGCACACCTCCCACGTATACAGCTCCTGGATCAATCAGTTCAGCAACTATTACCTGTACAACTGAAGTTTTCCTTGCAAGAGCTAGGGCCATCCAGCTCCCAGAGGAGGAATGATACAGGTTATGGGGGGGAACATAAATTTTCCTTTTTGTTCGATTTTTACTTTGGTACTTGGGACAAAACTTAGAACTTGTGCTTGCCAGGCAGGTGCTTATGCCATTGAGCTAAATCCTTGGCCCTCAACTTTTATTAAACCACAAGTTGCATAAATCTGAACATAGTATGTTAGAACCACTTAGAAACTCCGAGTGTGAATTTCAACACATGGGTGTTTGAAGCATTTAGTTTCAGATCTCAAACACTTAGCTCCAAACCGCTAAACAGAGCTGGATATGGTAGGGCTGAGCCTGTAATCCCAGCACTCCAAAAGCTGAGGCAAGATAGCTTCAGGTTCAAAGTGAGGTCAGGCCAGCCTGTACCATGTAGAGTCCCTGTCTCAAAGAACCAAAAGGGCATGATAAACACCAGTGGCCACCTACTTAATGCTTTGTGCCCAACACATACCTTACAGATAAAGGGTGAGGGGGCACTGCTAACTATTTCAGCTCACTAGGCACAACTAACCTGACACATTCCCTTCTCATTCCCAAATGTGAAACATAATGAATACAACAGTACCACAAACAAAAGGGAGACAAGGGCCGGCCAGCCAGCTCAGTGGATTTAAAGCACCTGAAGCAGGGATGGGGGTGTGGTGAGGGATTCTGGCCTGCCTTGCTGGCCCTGCCCCCAGGATAGGGTGAGATGGTGACCGAGACTGGGGGTAAAGGTGTGTGCCTGTAATCCAAGTGCTTGGGAGGCTGAAAAACAAGTCCCATCTGCATAGTGGGACCCTGTACTTAATAAAAAACAAAGGGAGACACAATAAAGTAAACGCAGTTTATTTAAAAAAAAAAAATCCATTCACAAAACTGAATGATTTAACCAGAGCTGTACAACAGCTAAAACCAACTGTAGGCAGTTGAGAATGATGCACAGTGACTCAGATAAAGATTGGTCCTCACAAGGAAGTTCCTGCAAAAAGAAAAGCTCATTAAGTATTTTTATCAAATCCATGGGCTCTATAATCACTCAAAACTACCACTATTACTGTGAAGATTGCCTTTTAAGTTTTAAGTCACCCTTCTTGCACCACACCCATAATCCCAGCATAGGGAGACAGATATAGGAAATTAAGCCTAGACACTTCCATAGACAAGGTCTAAAAAATTCAAATTTATCCTTTTGGGGTCTGGGGGTTTAGCTCACTGGTGCAGTGCATTGCCTGGCAAATGAGATCCTGAGTTCGATTCCTGGTACCCAAACCACCAAGGGCTGGACAGATAGCTGTGAACTGAAATGCTGGCTTTGGCAGAGTATAATGGCCAGGGTTCAATCCCTGGCATGCTGAGCCCCATCACTGGGGTGCACTGAGATGGGTATGGTGGCCCATGTGTGTAATCCCAGTGCTTGGGAGGCTGGAAACAGGAGAATCACCAAGAGCAGGTGAGACCCTGTACCAAATACGTAACAAAACACCACCAAAATCATCCCTTTGTAGCTGGGCATGATAACATGTGCCTGTAACTCAAGCAGGAGTTACAAGAGGGCCAACCCAGGATGATCACCCAAGTTTGAGGGCAAGCCTGGGCAATTGAACAGGACTGTCCGAAAAGGGTTAGGGTCAGTGACTGCCTAGCAGTAAGGACCCAAGGTTTGGGGCTGGGGAGATAGCTCAGCAGAGTAAGTGCTTGCCTACCAAGCACAAGGGCCTGAGTTCAATCCCTGGTTCCACAAAACACAACCGCCCCCACCCCAAAGAAAGAAACAAAAAAAACCAACCCAAAGTTCTACCTATGAGCTACATACACTCTAGCCTCCTTTAGTAATAGTGATGTAACATAAGTGGACCAGATGAGTTCTTTCACTTACAATCTGACCTGCTGCCTGGCTGGGGAATACAACACATCCTTAGTGATTTTCAGAAACTTACCTTTTAGCTATGTGCTTTTTTTTTTTTTTTTTAAATTAACAGCTGATAAGCTTGCAGTAGCAGATTCCTCCCCTAGAAGAAGTAAACAACCTTTAGAACTAGCTCTTTTCTGAGACCAAGGCCCATCTTGAAGCTACATCCCCCTCCCCCCAAAAGTGACCCTCCCTCCCTCCCACCATTTTGGGGAAAGGGTTCTAATGCATTACTTTGAGCCATTGTTTTAATGAAATGGGTCAAAGGAAGATAAGAAATAAAACTATAATGGGCAACAATATCTTCATATGGAATTATTGTGCTCATTTACTTCATTTGAGAGCCAACAAGAACAGGGTATTAATTTAAAACAATTTCCAGAAAAACAAAGTTCAGCTTAACTGGACTAGTTTTGGCTCAATATATTAAGGAAAATGCAATAGAAAACTGGATTTTAGGTTAACTAAATGGATGTAAGTAAAATCTGTTCTTACCTACCAGCATAGCAATAAAACCTTTTCTCCTGGTTCTGACTGCTAGTCCTAAGAGTCAGGTGTGCCTTACTCTTGTCTGCCTCCTTCCTTGCGGTGGTCACTGAAACTTCACTCTCCTAGCTTTCATGTTGAGTGCCGTGGCCTGCCCCTGGCTTATCTGTACTCCACATACCATAAGTTTCTACTCTCAGCTGCAGAGTGTCTGAGCTCGGAGTCATTCGCGCTATGCTTGCTAGCAGTTCCTAGTAGCTGAACATCTCTTGGATCTTTAAAGGCATTGTCACGAATCCTGAGGTATCTGCAAACTCCCTCAATAGTTAAGGTTCCACCTGCTATTGCAAACTCAGCCAGTATCATGGAACTAGTGTCCATGCTTCCCCGCCTCCCCCCAGCCAACCCCCTTCCCCCAACCCTCCTCCCCAGACTTCCAAGTAACACACCCATGGGATGGAATATAACAGTCCTATTGATAACAAGGATCTATGCCACTAAGTACAGGCACCAAAGAGTACCAAAGGTAGACTCAAAAGAAATTGTACAAATAACAATGGTGGAATAGTTTGGAATTGCTATACAATTAACACTTTAAGATGGTTGTGTGACCTTGTGCCATATTTAAAGGAAAACTGCAGTGAACATAAAACCGTGCAGAAAAATTCTTTTATGGCTTCAATCTCCAAATTAGTTGACCTGAAGACCCACCCACCATGACCCAATGAAACTGCAGTTTTCCTTTAATGCAAACCTATTTGTTAATTAGAAGCTTTACTGGTACTTGTAAATTGGGAAAGAAAAAAGCCTCCCAAAACTAAGCTGGATTTATGGGGCAGCTTTAGCCAGCAGCTGGTTGCTATTTTCTGGCAGAGCTTTGAACTTGTACTGTGATAGAGGCATTCAACATTTATCAGGGGCAATGGGTAGGGAAAAGTACA